TACATATGATCGTTAGTGAATTTTCCCACAAATAAGCTAGCGTTTCTTTTTAAAGCATAATACCTGTGTGAAACAATGAATATTACTCTTATAGATGAGAACAATGAAGGAAAATTCACAAAGATACAGGAAAAAATAAAATTTAATGAGAGAAGAATTCTAAAATTACATTCAGAGGCATTTATAACATAAAAGCAGGAAGATGGTACAATGCCAATTGAACCCAAGTCCAAAAAGCAATAATATAAGTAAACATACTGCGATAGGTACTGCATGGGAAATGAGAAATGAGACAGTGTTCAGTTGAACCACTGTTTTCCCAACTAGACATCTTAGAAAGACATTTCTGTAAAATGCTTTCTCCAGGAGAAAGTATTCCCCTTTTATGGGGACTCATTAGCATTTAAAGGCCTTGAAAGGCCCCACAGCAAAGAAAATTGATCACATTTTCCAAGTTTGACTATGGAGCCCAATTTTATATAATACCTGTTAACATCTTGCAAAGACCTGTTTTTGTGAAATTTTCTCCTAGAAAATTAGATTTGACCATTAAAAATAATAGGTTTTGAGATGAGCTCAGTATGTTTGAAAAATTGTCTGGCAAATACATCATGGTACTTGTTTCTGCTTCCATTAAAGGAAGGAATTGTTATCTCGAATGTTTCTTCCAAATATAAAACTATATGATACAAAAATGCTTAAAAGAAGATTTGATATTCATATCCCTATTACATTTTTAGAAAAATCCGAACTCATTCAATCATGTGCTTACGAACTTCCACTACTTAAGTAAAATGTATGTACCCCTTCTAATTCGTTCTGAATTATGTATATATTTCTAGTGTGCAAATATTCCTTGAGTGAATTATTTGCTTAGGAGATGTTTTCTTCATTGACCCTCATGGTCTCTTGGTCTCTTCAAGTGTTTCTAGCTAAACAACAAAGTTAAATTTAAATTTTTTAATGTAATTCATTCCCTTTCTTCTTTCCATTAGCATGAATAATCAAGAATTCATGGCATTATGATTTTTTTAAATGTCAGAGATTATAAAGCTGTCTTGTTTGTTACAGCAAAAACTTCATTAAAGGCTATCATGTATTCAGAGTAGTGTATAATTTAAAGCAGCTGCACACCCAGCTCCTCTTCCCTAGATGTACTATTGTCCTTTAAATGAAAACATCAGATTATCTAAGTACTTTTAAATTTCAAGTCTAGTTTCTAGGTGCCAGGCACTTCAAGGTAATTATGTTTTAATAGTTTTATAGTCCCTCAGCATCAAACCCATCACAAATGATGTTTTCCCGCTGGTTCCATATATTTTGAAGGAATGGCTCCCATTGGAATCATCGTTCAACACTTAATTATATACTATATTTGCCAAAGCCTTATATTTTAACCTTATACTTCAGAAACATTTCAATATTATAATTACTTATGTTAAAAGTACTTTGGTCATAGGAGGAAAGAATCTCCTCTTCCTCATTGCAGGAAAATATTCACTTGTGGGGCTGGATTGCCTCAGTTGTTTTTTTAAATCTATGAAGTATGTGAGATTTTTTTAAAGGTGACAAATACTCACTAAAATGTGCTATTTTTGTACATGCATGTCATAAATAGTGATAGTTTCCAAATAACACGTGTGCCTTAATTGTTTTTCCTAAAGAGATTACATTTGCCATTAAGAAAAGTAAGATTAAGTGACTATGGGAATCACGAGAAAGTGATGATCCTAAAGTATCTTAAAAGTTCAAGACAGAAGAAAACTTCATGTAAAATACTCTTCTTTATCATATAGCAGCCAGAGACAACTTAAACCAAAATCAAAATAAATGCTAATTTCATATCCTTCTGTCTTCCTTCACATGGCGTGTTTTTATGAAGCTGAACTTCTCCGTCATTAATACGTTTTGTAAATTACCTTTTGCAAAGGGAAAGATAAAACCTGTCTTTATGTAAACCCTTCCACATCACAAAAAAACTTACAAGCACTCCAAACTTACGGTTTTGGCACACCAACTACATAGCATTCACGAAGGAGAAAAGGGGTTAGCAGAAAGTGTATTTAGGATGGATGCCACCCACCATCAAGTAATGGTTTAAGTAGAAAGTAATCAGCGGGAGACCACAGCAGCTAAATTTCAACCAAAGATATTCTAGGTTTAGAACAATAAACAATTTTAATCAGGTATGTTCTAAGGAACAAATAGGACTCTAAAGCTGTAACTCAGCCTGAATAAGCACTCAGAGGCTGCCGGATCAGCAGCTACCCCATACACAACACACCACCTGATCTTCCATTAAAATTTCTAACGTCTTCAGTACAGAGAAACCCATATGTTCTAAAACTTAAACTCTCTGGACTGGAAAACATATCTACTATATTAATTTAGACAGCATCTTTCACCTACAAGGGAACATATGTCACGAGGTGAAAGGGTGTTATGGAAATGCTGATATGGATGAAGAGAGAGGGACACACATGAAAACCTTAGCACCTTCCTGCAGTCCTGCCTTATTAGAGCCAGAACTGCCTTATAATAGTCTTTTTAGTGTGTTAGTAACTAAACACTCTTGGAAGGGGTCCAACACGAACCACCTCTCCAGGAGTCTCAATGAGGTAACATGACACTTAAGCTTCCACAAAAACCAGTGTCTACATTTGATGAATAAGTCATTAAGACAGTCTCTAGGATGCTAAAGGGATTACTTTTCTTATCATGGCACACAGTCTTGTATATATGCATCAAGTTGCAACTCATCATTTCAAGGGAATGTCTGGCCTCCATATCAGAGTTTATTATTTGATGCTATGAGACTACAGTGAGGCTGATAAGGGACACTCTGGAATTATATTGCAAGGAATGAGTTGGAGCCAAAAAGAATATGGTACCTGAGTTATTAAAATCTTTATCCATGGTTAACTTAGCCTAAAACAAATAAAAGCTGTACAATATGTGAATGAAACAAACTTGAATTCTACCTCCAAACCATGTAGTTCATACTATAAATGAAACTTGTTAATACAAAAAAAAGTTGTTTTTTTATCTTAGTGGCCTCACTTATTCCCTAGCAATATAACCAAGAAAACAAATATCAAGATGAGAGTGATTTGAGTACCTTCATTTTTGCCACCTGCCTAGCTCACCCAACTTCCTTTCAATCTTTGCAACTCTCACATGAGTTCTTCACTGAGTTATGCCCCTAGAGTTGCACTAAAGTAAACAGAGTGTTCACTGGTGTAGTCAGCTGTCAGGACAGCCTCCTCCAATGGCTGGGATACTGTAGATAACACAGAGCAAATTTCTTTTTCCTTACTGGTGGCCATCTCCTCACAGATCATGCTCATGATTTTAAGAAAGTAAAATCTGGTTCAGTTCAGTCTCTAGCTAAATACTTCTGCATTAGGAAGCATACTTCACATCTATTGTAAATGTCATCATGCCTATAAGCTCTAGAATATATTTACACAGACAATGCAGAGCTTTCCTTGATGAATGCTTTAGTTTTCCCTTTTTCCAGGAGTCCTACATATCAGACTTTTGGGAGATTTCTTTCTAGTGATTCTGACAGTATTGATTGAGGCATGGCCTCATTTTCTTGAAGATTCTTGGCTATTGTTCAACAGTTCACTGAAAATAGGCTTTGCAGTTACATTTCCCCTTATCATGAATGTAGTGAACAAAAAAGCCTGGTGAATCCTCAAAGCATAAAAACAGAGTTAGTGTCCAGGAAGCTTTCCCTCAAGCTGTTAGCACAAGGGAGGGAAGCTGTTAGCATAAGTTATTCCCTTCACCACAGGGGCTAGGAGAAACCTTGTTAAGCCATGAATTTCAGTCCAAAGTGATCTGTGCTGAAAAATGGGATGAGCAGATTTTCTTGGGCAGATTCCAAGAGGTGTTTACATCCAGGGTTGCTCCCTCCCCTTGTCTCCCAGCTCCTCCCAGGATGGATGGTACAATCCCTATTTACCCAGATGCGTTTTAAATAATCGAAACACCCAAGCACCTGTTTCCTTCCTTCCTTCCTTCCTTCCTTCCTTCCCTCCTTCCTTCCTTCCCTCCTTCCTTCCTTCCTTCCCTCCTTCCTTCCTTCCTTCCCTCCTTCCTTCCTTCCCTCCTTCCTTCCTTCCCTCCTTCCTTCCTTCCTTCCCTCCTTCCTTCCTTCCTTCCCTCCTTCCTTCCTTCCTTCCCTCCTTCCTTCCTTCCCTCCTTCCTTCCTTCCTTCCCTCCTTCCTTCCTTCCCTCCTTCCTTCCTTCCCTCCTTCCTTCCTTCCTTCCTTCCTTCCTTCCTTCCTTCCTTCCTTCCTTCCTTCCCTCCCTCCTTCCTTCCTTCCTTCCCTCTTTCCTTCCTTCCTCTCTTTCTTTCTTTCCTTTCTTTCTTTTCTTTTTTTCCTTTCTTTCTTTGCCACTAAGGAACTATTAAGTACAGTGTCAAATATAGTACAGTAACACAAAGGGCGCGAATTTACAGCGGGTGCAAGATCTGGAGAAGCGACTATTTAAAAGGAGAGGGGAAGGCGTCTTATTCAAGTGTAATTTCTCTCTTGGGCCCTGGCATTGGCATAAAATGGCATCTGCCTCTTAGTAAACATGGCTAAAGCCCAGTCCAAAGGAATTTCCGCTGGCCGATTTAGGAATCAACAGAATAAGTTACCCTAGAGGTGCTCCAGTCACTCAGGGCAGGAGGCCTCACAGGCATGGGGTGTCACCCCTTCCCTTTTTCCACGAAGTTCCTCCAGCCTACCCCCTCCACTGCTCCGCGCCCTTCATTCTCCGTATTTCCCCCTCTCACTTTGGATTTGAAAACTGGGCTTACAGGAGATGCAGCTGGTGACACGCGGGGTGTGACTGGAAGGAGGAATCCAGAGGGCAGCTGCGGAGGGTGGAGAAAGGTCCCTGGGCAGCGCCACCAAGCAAGAGGCAGACAAGGAAGCTGTGGGGGGGTCCTGGGAGAGAGCTGGGGCGGGACCGCAGGAAGGGGTCTCACCTCGCTCACTCACCTGCTGCCGCCGCCCGAAAGCTGCGAACCGTGTTGCCTTCACGCAGGGACTGAGGGCGCCAGGGCTTCGAGCCTCCCTCCAGGGAGCCAGGTGTCCGCGCCGCCTGGACCGTGCTGTACCTGTCATAGAGCCGCAGCATGTGTTCAGAGACCTTGTCTTGCGGCTGCAGCTCGGCGTCCGGGCCACCACCTGCCGTGCGGTCACCTGGCACAGCTTTGCGGAGCTCCCGCAAAGGTAGCTTCGGTCTCTCTCCCTGCGCTAGGCTCACGCAGAAGCAGCCCAGCCACAGAAAGAGCAGCCTGCTCGCCCCAGCCGTGGCCATGGCGAGATACCCGCGCGGCGCGTCGGCTCCCGGCGTCGCTGCGGGACACTCCGAAGGCGCAAGGAGCCGGCGGCGGAGCCGAGGGTTGAACTCCAAACCAGCTAGGGCGAGGGCGCACGGAGCCCGGGACACGGCCGGGTGCAGCGAGACAGCGGCCAGTCCCACTTGCTGCGCGGACCCAGCGCAGCCTGACAGGTGGGCTCTTCCCCAGCAGCCGCGCGGACCTCACCGGCGCAGGGCGCTGCGGGCGCCGTCTCCACTCCAACGCTGAGAAAGAGCTGTAGGTCGCGGCGTGTGTGGCCCGGGTGTTTTCAAGATCTGTCCGTACCTTCCCTCCTCGCTTTATTTTTGGGAACACCCGGCCAAACTGGCCGCGCTAGGGACTAGGACTAGCTCTGCTTTGGGCGCCAGGTCGGAGCCGGGGCTGTGCGCAGCGGTCGGGAGGGCGCTCGATTGCCTTTTCCAGGGATTGGAGCAGATGCGGCGCCGCTGGTCCGAGTTTTTTAGTGTACACGTGTGTGTGTGTGTGTGTGTGTGTGTGTGTGTGTGTGTGAGAGAGAGAGAGAGAGAGAGAGAGAGAGAGAGAGAGAGAGAGCGCGAGCTTAGTTCTTTCGCTCTCTAGCTGATCTGTAGAGTCCTCAGCCAATCTCTCCCACTCCCTCGTCCTTGCCCTCTTAGCTTGCACCAGGCTGGGATAGAAGCAAGGCGGGGAGTAACCAGAGAACTGGCAGCGGGAGGGAGAGAAGAGGAAGTAGGGGTGGGGATGGCTGGGGAGAGGAAGGGAAAGGGAGACTTAGGACTAAAGAAATGGTCGGAGGGACGGCTTTCTTTCTTTCTTTCTTTCTTTCTTTTTTTTTTGTAATTCTCCAAGAACAGTGGCTGTATGATGGCTAGCAGGAGGGCAGAGGAAAACAGAACTTCTTTCTGGGTTTTCGCTCTTCTGATTCCAAACAAAGTCACAACGTGAACACCGTTCTCGCTTACTTTCCTGAGCCTCTTCTGACGGACACTGCGGGCCCCTGCACCTGTACCCCGTCATCGTAGCTTCCTGTCTTTCTGAGCGCATACCCATCATAACGCCCCTCTCTCCCGCATCATCTTCTCTCGAGGTGAGAAATATGTGCGAGTCAGCATCATATTAAAAACAAATAAGAAAACAAGCAAACACACCACAACCTCACCTACAGCTTTCCCCAAAGGTTTCCTTCCTACAGGTCCCCAAAAGGTTTCCCAGCAGGATGGTGCAGTGGTGGTTAAAAACAAGGGTGTCTAGAAGATCCCTGAGTCCGGAACAGAATATGAGAGTTGCTAGCTTTGTCTTCCTAATCCTTTCTTGTCATGACTGTACAATGGAGATTAAACCAGGAGCAGCCTGGCGCTGTGGCTCAGGCCTGTAATCCCAGCATTTTGGAAGGCTGAGGCGGGTGGATCACGAGGTCAGGAGTTCGAGACCAGCCTGGGCAACATGGTGAAACCTCATCTCTACTAAAAATACAAAAATTAACTGGGCGTTGTGGTGCGCACATGTAATCCCAGCTACTGGGGAGGCTGTGGCAGGAGAATGGCTTGAATCCCGGAGATGGAGGTTGCAGTGAGCCAAGAGTGTGCCACTGCACTCCAGATGGGGTGACACAGCAAACTCCGTCTCAAAACAAAAAACAAACAAACAAGAAAACAACTACGAGCTAACATTTTTCTCCACACTTATATTCTAAACATACCTTGTTATTTATATTTCACGTATATTACCAAACAATTTTCACAACAAAACCCATTTTACAGATGAGGAAACTGAGGCAAAAGGATACATAGTAAGTGAATGAACTGAGATCCAAACTCAGGGAGTCTGATTTCTGGCCTCAGGCCAGATCACCACACTATTAATAATGAAATTAGCATTTAAACTGAAGTTTCAGTATGCAATCCATGTAAATGTTCTTAGTGCAGTTCTTGGCCAGATGCAGTAAAATCCTCAGTCAATGTCTATTGCATTTATCCCTCTTTCCCTCTGTGGGGCAATGGAGTTGATTGAAACGAAGATAGACTCCTGGAGTCACACCATGTCTCCAAATCTGAGTTTCTTCTTTGATGGTGAATAACAACACATTCCATTTAGAGTTTTGTTTGGATGACATTAGAAAGCAGTGCTAAAGTGACTGGCGCACTCACTAGCCTTTAGTAGGGGCTCAATCCCTTTCTATCCTAAATTTATCCCAAATCCAGACTACAATCTCCCCCACTCAGTCACTTCTTAACCCACTGCGGTTTGGATTTTGCCCTTAGCCACCCCGGGAACTGTTCTGCAGATAATAACACGTACTTCAAGAGTAGCTGTGAGGATTAAATGAGATCATGTGTTTGATCTTTGCTTGGCATAAAGAACATAATAGCTTTTGTGATTAATAATGAAGATCTAATTGCAAAATTCAATAGGCCCTGGAAACTCTCTGTCTTTGATTTTTTCCCTGTGAACTATTGGTTGTTTTTCCATTCCTTTCTGCTCTCTCTCAGTTCCGTGATCTGCCTCCTCTTTCTAGGCCTGCCTCAAACGTTCCTGACATCTTTACTCTGCTCTGGGAGAATGCCAAATCCAGAAGAAAATTCTTTTTCAGTTATTCTGCCTTGGTGGTCACCTCTGGCCTTTAAATATATAGCTCTGGTTCCCCCCAAGCTCCAGACCTCATTGCTAAAAGTTCATCCTCTTCCCCTTTGAAACCATCTTTGTGACTTCCCTCCCTTTAGCTACAGTGCATATTTCTGTCACAACATTTGCCACTCTGTACTCCACATGATTCTTCATTCATAGATACTGAAGACTGACAGCACGTCTGCAATGGCTGCCTTCCCTTTGCTATGCCTCCAATTGGTTATTTAAGCCATAACCGTAAAATAATAGTGCCATCTCACAGGGTTGTTGTAAAGAATAATTGGATAGTCCATGTCAAGAGATTAGCACAGTGCCTAGCACATAGCAAATGCTTAAAAAGAGTCGACTGAGACCTAAGAGAATCGCTTGTCTGTTTTTGTCTAAGGCACAGATCAAGGCATACCCATCTTTATATTTTAGTGACCAGCCATTACATTCAGAATAATCAAAGTAACAGGTGGTGATGAGCAAGTAGAATAATCCCTAACAGAGATTTCCAGCTGTAATTCCAGACTAGAATAGAATCTGGATATGGGAGCCAGCAAACCAGAGAACACTAGCAGCAACCAAATTTTGGACTTATAGTAACTCATTTGCAACTAACATACACCCAAGAAGAGGGAGCAATGGATGAAATGGATGAAGCCAGCAGCAGCATATCCAGCGATGACAAATAAATGGCACCCCTGCCAGACTCTTGGAATGACTTCTTGGGAAATTGAATTGAAAGCAAATTAAATGGGAAAGAAACAATTCCCTCATCAGCACACCTGGAGATGCCACCTTGTGATATTCAAGACAGTAGCACAGTGTTTCTTTTATCAAAGGCTACAGAATCCCAGCCTTGGATGGATTAAATTGTTTCAGAATGCTGGTATCTTGAGATGCCTCTGCTCAAATGGTTTAAATCATAGGATTCATATTTCTGGCTTAGCATCTGATTTCCTTGATGTATGGAGGCTTTGCAGCTTTTCAGGAGGAACTGAATTAAATGTATTGGTAGTACATGTGCCTTGTATTTGATTTCTCTGTTGTGTTGCATTAATTAAGAGTTGTTTTCATTTTTAAATAATAGGTCTTTCCTATTTCGTGTTAGAGGTTGTGACTATTGTAGCCAACTAATGAATCAGAGGATTCTTATCAGTCTTTTTTCCTAAACACAAGGAGAGTTAAAGGAAGGCATTTCTAAAATAGAAAACAACAGCAGATTAGTGGATTAGCGGATTCTGTTGCATTAAACTCTACTTTTGACTATAAAAACCCCATGTGTATATGTATGAATACATGTGTATTATGCTTGTCTTTATCGATATTCTTGAGTAATATAAAATTATTTTCTAAAAACTTCCCATCAACCGTTATTATTGAATACTTATGTAAGACTATATTAGCAGTTGTGAAGTTTTGGTTCCTTCCTCTTTTTATTACTACCATCTTTGATTCACTCGCTCAATACATATTTAGTATCTATTGTGTTCTTGACAATTTAGGGTTGAAAATACAAAGATAAAATGAAATGGTTCCTGTCCTCTGAAAACTTAGTCTACTTGAGAGATAGGAATAACCACTTGAAAAACCTTAAGGTGTTTTTTTTTTTTTTTTTTTTTTCTGGCTGAGTAAGGCAGACAGTGCTACATGGAAGAGACAGTAGTTGAACTGAGATTTAAAAGCAAAGTAGGTGATTTTCCAGGGGCATTTTAGATGGGTTATTTCAGACAGAGGAAGAATATCATCTATACTTAGGTGGGCGAAGTCTTTCTTCTGGGGTCTTCTTCCAACTTCATACCAATCTTTCTCTCCATTATTTCTCCAGTTAACTCACTTGTTATATGCTTGTATTTGGTTACCAATAACTCCACAAGTATTTCCAACCTTAAGTCTCTACAGTATTTCAGCTCCCCCACCCAGTTTTTATAAACTGTGTTTATCCTATTGGTATCATAAATTCAGTGCATCTAAAATGAAATTGGTCATCCATCTTAATTTCTTGGTTTCCGAACCTTTCTGTTGGCACTCTTACCATTTTAGCCATCCAGGTTCCAAGTCATAGACTTCTATTCGCCTTCTCCTTCTCTCTGAGCATCATAAATTAATTACTAAGTCACATAGAGGCTGTCTCTGCTATTTCTTTCATTTATTTTCCTTATTTCTATTGCAACCCCTTTCATTTAGTTATTAATTTATTTTAATCTAGGCTACGTTTTTAGTCTCCTAAATAGCTTCCAGTTCTTCCCCACTCCAGATAAATCTGATTTCTATTGCTCCATAACAAATAACTACAAACTTAGAGGCTTAAAACAACACCCATTTATTATCTCATCATTCTGTAAGTTAGAAGTTCAGTGTGACTCAGCCGGGTTCTCTGCTTAGGGTCTCACATTCAATGTGTTGGCCAGGTGGTATTCTTATCTGAAGGCTGTGGGTATAAATCCTCCTCCAAGCTCATTCAGATTTTTGCAGAATCCAATTCCTTATATGTAATTGTAGGACCATGGTTCCATATTCTTACCGACTTTTAGCCAGGACTTGTTATCAGCTACTAGAAGCCACTTGCCATTTTTTTCTGTGTGTTCCCCCTCCATATTAAAACCAATAATAAATAATTTTTTGCATGTTGAATACAGTACTTCTAATTTCTTTCTCCAGAAAGAAACCCCATCTTTGTAAAGAGCATGCCTGAAGTGAGGCCTGCCAAGCATAACATCCCATTCTTAAAGTTGACTTTGCCATTGAACACAAGTGAACCATGTAATATACCATCATATTCATAGTTTCCTTCTACATTCAAAATGGAGAGGATCATACAAGATCATGGGTCACTGGGAGTCATTTTAGAATCCTGCCTACCATAGTAACCATGTAAATACTGCCACTAGATTTATGTTCCTAAAACTTAGTTCACGAATGTTATAAACTTTCTCAGAAAACAATAAGTACCTGCTCATTGCCAACTAAATGAAAAACAAAAAACAAAAAACACCAGACACCTCAGTTTGGTACTCATAGCCTTGCCCAATTTGTCCTCAACCTAGTTTTCTGTATCTCTCTCCTTTCTCATGTTATCTCCTATGCACCAACCATGCTATGTGCTTCTTCTCCACTTTCCTTCACTTGGCATATTCCTTTGCCTGAT